CGATAGGTGGCTTTCTATGCACGAATTAATCATATGAAAGCGAAACTGACGTAATGCTATGGCAGTATCAAGCCGGGCATATTCATGGCCGGCTATTAAAAAAGTATCCCTATAATGGCAAAAAAAGTATCCCTATAATGGCTTTCTATCGGCAGTCTTTTGAGAACTGTAAGGCATTTGTCAGCTGTTATAATGGACTACAGTTGGAGCAGTACGATGTTCCGCGCAGTAATTGGACAATTTCTACGAAATGCAATGATACACAATAGAAAGTAATTGTAATTTTTCAAATAAATTAAAACGCGACTAGCTTGTGGAACGTACTAAGCCCGCTTAGTAAAGTCAATTGTTTTGCTTTGCTTTCTATATCCTTCCTCTATCATTCGGTTAGCAAATAGGGCCATCTAAAGAGACAGCCATTTCTTAGGGCTACTCTTGGACTTCAGCTCCTTTTCATTGAAATAGATTGTCCTCTAAGTAGCAGATTATCTATTTAAAGGTTTCGAATCGCTGCACCCTTATGTAGTTGAATGTTATGCTACATGTTGATCTTTTTGTGCTGTCATTCGCCCCCCGCCCTCTGTCGGCGTGGCTGCCGTTAATTTTCAATGGCGTTTCAGGAACTCGTAATAGATCTTCTTCAAATGACTCTAAATCTCCCGAGAATCGTTAATTTGAAGGGCTTTCCGGAATGTATTGGCTTTTTGTTTCACTGCAGATTGTCACAAAATATCCCTTCTGCGTTTTCAATACCGATATTTTGCATAAATAAGTCCTTTTTCTACCGTGCGAGCAACGATACGCATACGTTTAGGCCATTGAAAATGGTATTTGCTAGAAGCGATCTTTGGACCTTTGGAGCAAGGAGGGGAAATTACATGAAGCTAATGAAGGTTTATGTAAGTCCCGCTCCTCCGCCATCAGGATCACTCCAGTAGCAGCACATTCAGGACAATGCGGTGGCTAACCGTTAGCCTCCAGAAAGCCCTTGCGGTGACTGTGATAAACTAGGCCAGATTTCCACCAAAAAAAATCTGCTGCAATGTATCACCATTCACTTCAGATGGCCGTTCCGAAATCCGGATTTCTAGTTCGAAAATGGTCAAACCAATTTCTGTAAAATGCTGACAGATACTGCACATCCCTCTTTAGTCTCGCATATCTCTCGCTTGTCCCACTTTTCCGAGCGATAGAGAACCTACGAAAAAGTACTTTTGCATTGGATCAACACTTTTTTCGGGGTTCTTGACTCGGTAGCACCGAAAATTGCTACTCACAAGCCCAGATGAGATCAGGGGATGAACGTCAAACAAGCAAACAAGATATGCAAATGGGGAAGTTCAAAAGTTATCCGAATTACTCATCAATCTAACTAACATATACAGCTGGAGGCGATTCTTTACATGCGGAGTGCGTGGGCAGTGCTGGCGGTGGCATGAAGCTTTCAACATGGCGGACTGGCCATGGCCATTGTAAACATTCATTCATAAGCGTAGCAGTTATCGCTGTGCATCTGTCATTCTAACTATCGTCAGCGTCGTAATCATTAACACTAATTTCGTAGTCCTTCTGGGTACGTTTTTCTTTCACGTTTGAAAACTTACTACAGTCGCCGCCATTGGCGGTGTTTGTGTTTACCAGTGCGAGCAGCGATAGTACGCTAATTAACGATGGCCATACCATTTCTGTGTAGTTGTTATTATCATAGCTCTTATTATTTTTGCTATAACTACTATTACTCTAATAGCGAAGGCTATATGTGAACATCGCGACCTCAACTTACGAAAAGAGGGTTCGTTTACGCATCGCCAGTGTACTGGTGCAATATGGTTCATATTTTGCTGATGACTCAACGTCTGACGGATGTAACGGGGATTGATCTTTTGAGACTATTGCCGCGTTGGGTGGCATCGTTTCACGACTATCACCGGACTTGTTTTTTATAACTTGTTTATCTTGATTTTACTTTACTGTGGCTTACATAACAAGTATTCTCATAATGCTTTTTTAGCGCCTCAAATTCTAGAATATGGAACTTTCGCAATTTTAGAATACATAATATCGATTATCACGCAGTAGCTAGGTAGAAAATTGTAGACGGTGTGGGCAGGCCGACGCCACGCCATAATGATGGTTTATGTCGACAGCAGTTATCAACCACGTACTATATGATCACACGTAATGATCAATGAAAAATAATACCAACGCCAGTATCTTCATCATCGGCAGCTTCTTGTCTTTGTGCTTGTTTCTGTTCTTGTCGCTTCATAGAAGTTGAATTTTGTAATTCTGTAATTGTTATTTTGAAATGCATTTGTTATGATTTGTTTTTGACCACCACCTACCGCCACCACCACCGCCACCAACAGCTGTGCATCTTGCGCGCCCCCTCTGGCCGCTTCTACTATTGACGCCAAATAGATAATAGCGTCATTTTCGTCTATTTGTTAAGACTGGCCTAAAAAAAATGTGATCAGGAAGTCGCGTCCCAGACGCTAGGCCAGATGGCTGAAGTGAAGAAGATCATTTTTGTACGGCATGGTGTCTTGGTAGCAAAGCAAGGCAGCACCTATCGAATGTAACTCTGCTCTTTAACAGGCCTCTTAATCTGATCAATTTAGTCCCTTGACTAAAGCAGAACTTCGGAGACGTCATCATCAACTTTTTCGGGAGTGCAGAATTTACTGGCCAGTACTCCATGTCAAAGACAATCATTATAAAAGAACTATCGTGTTTTCCTTTCCGAAGGGTTACACATGTGAACGCAGCACACGGTAAGCTTTTAGGATTTTCAGCGGTTTTTTTTTCCGCAAAAAGCACAGCCGATTGGTGCTTGCAAACTCCAGTTAGTTCATATAAAAATGACGTTTCTACAAGAGTTGCATGTGGTGCGTTACCAACGGATAGGGTCTTCGACTATGCATGCTATCACGTATTGCATAAATAAACATAAATACTATGTTAACTATTTAAGTACATTCGCAGCTATACAGAAAAACAGAAATTTCAAGATGGCCTATTATATCAAGACATGTTTGATTAGTTAATTTAGAAGTCACACGAGTTTTGTGTTCGTGAACAATGATGGCCACTTTGTCTCAAATGATTGTACCTTTATAATGGAGAGACTTTTTTTTACAGTTTCGTAATCAATTTGATCTTTAATGACTACTGGCGATTGTAATTTCGTCGTGTTTTACATACACCATATGCTCATCCGTAAAATGGAACGCCGAATGCAGGCAAACGTACATCCATACTGCGAAATCCTTATCGTTTTGTGATACTCGATCGTTACTGGGGGGAACTTGTTCGAGGGCAAGCAAAAGATCCAAAGTGCCAAAAAGGCTGTAAATAACAACTATACAAACTGGAAAACCAATTCTTACATGTCCCGCCTAGCAGTTCACCTATTGCTTTAAATTGGAATGCATCCATCCCCGCGCGCGTTAGTCCATTGTGTTGAAACGATAATCATGCTGCAAAGTTGATTCCTACATTACATCCTTCATTGCCTATTGTGTAGTAATGTGATTTTATTTCGATTTGAACCTCTTCTTTATCTCATCGAGTCGGTGTCAGCCTTTTAACGCCTGAGGCTTCCTAGGCAAGAATTTTTTTCAAGCTTAAGACCTTTTTTTTTTTGTTCAGTATTGTTAGCTGTTTGCGATATGTGAACAAGTTCTCGGAATAACTCATTTTAGGTGTCGAATGAAGGATCTGCCCGCATTTGTAGCCTAATCAGGGTTGATCAGAGTGATCTCTTAGGCGCGACACGGTCCGAGAGGCGAGCCAATATGCTACGACCACCATAATTACCAAGGATACTGCCACACTGCTTCAGGTCCCAGCGTTTTATCAAATATTAATTAGAAAAGTTTAGAATGAGGAAATAAAATATTATTGTTATCAAAGTTAATAGTTGGTTTTATCGTCGCCACGCCGTTTCGTAGATCTGATGGAGGTCCACTAAGGTCCACGCGGGTCACTTTCCACTCGGTGCATGTCTCGATGTTATAAACATTGTGTTGTGTAGGCATTTTATCATCACCAGCCCATAACTCACGTGTGTCAAATACGTGACCGGTGCAGGTCTAAGATTCTTTAGCCCTTCTTGGCTCCTTCGCGTATGCCCGTAAGCAAACATATCGCTCCTGGAGGCACTCACATGTCGATCGTCACTGATTTACAATTTGCTTCACGATTCTCATTAGCTTCTTCTTTGAATTCTCTTTCTGATAAAGCTTGCTGTTCTTTAGGCTTTATCCTGAATGAAAGTGCTCTAGACTGTATTGTTCATGGCGTGAAGAGAGCTTCATAGGTGCAGTCTGATGCTATCATGATGTCAACACAAAGAGAGCAGGAGCTGAAACGCAGAAGGTTACACAAGACACAGCGGCCACCACGGGAAAAACGACATGCCACAAAGATCAGACAGACGCTGACAAACCGATAATTTCGATAGTAATACGAAAAAATCTCCTCTCACGATATCGTAATAGCCGAAACACCGGTGTCGGAGGCGCAGATACACTAAAGGCACACTTACCGAAATGTTATTAACTAGATCACAGATAAACACTTACATACACGTATAATTGTTACTGTTTAACTATATGATTATTATTAATCAGCTGTGAGAAGCTCCCATATAGCGTTTGTCGTTGCATATACAGGATTTATGTTGTATCATACGGTACGTTTAACATATCACTTATTCTCTAGTACAGATTAAGGGTCTTGCTCTCATGCAACCGCATCTCATGCCTATCGTGCACTCATCGTGCATCCGGCTTTTTCGATTCGTAGTTTCGACAAATCACAAATTTATTACCATAATCGCTTCTAGTGTCGCCGATGACGGCTTGCACACAACGCAACTTTGTATCACACATAGGGAAAATGAATGTAGACAATTTGTGATATGTAGCTATAATAATAATACGAAACACGATATTAACTGTGTATTTTATTGGGTGATTTTTTTTTATTTATTTCAGTTTAATTTCGTCGGGCGCATCCTCGGCCCGCGAGGTATGACCGCAAAACAGTTGGAGCAGGAGACCGGCTGCAAGATCATGGTTCGAGGCAAGGGTTCTATGCGCGACAAGAAGAAGGTATGGTGCATTATAGTAACTCGTCGCTTTACACAACACGTTCTTCAGGTTGTCTCCATCATGGTACAGTGGTAACGTGCTCGCTCAGTAAGCTTGGCAACACTGGATATTATTTAGGTTCGAAACCGAGGGTAGACACAGTTCGTTCCCTACTAGAGAGGGATAGCCGTTCTATGACTAACAAGCGTTGCATTATCTACCAAGGAAGCAGGCAAGTTGATTGTGGGAAATGGGCATCTACAAATTTTAACAGAATAGAGGGCGTCTAGCTAATGTATCTGCTATCTTCACGTGCCTTTCTATCAGTAGTGTTTTTTGCTTTGTCAGTTCTTATTGTCCGACATGTACACATTATATCTATATTAAAAAAGAAAAAGAAAACGCTTACAAAAAGCGTTCGTGTTACTGAAGCATCAAATCGTTGTAGTGTTGCACCGTATTCCATCAACGAACAGTTTCTGTATTACTTCAATAGACTGGATTGAACTGAAACTATATTTAGGCACACAAATTTCGAAGGATAGGATATATTTTTGACATAGCTCTATGTGCAATACGTCACTATCCACAAGCCATAGTTGGTCGGGAAAAGGTAGAGTTGTTTGAAAGAGCAGTATCATAGCTGGGCGTTACGTAACCAGTGTTTAATCCGAGCATATCGAGCTATACGAACAGTTGTTTTCATTAAAAGTTAAAATATATAATAGACCTAGAAATACACGAGTCCTATGCGTCACACGTGACCAACTTTCGGTGCATCGCAGTTTGTGCCGTTTTTGAGCTATATATATATATATATATATATATATATATATATATATATATATATAGTGTTTTTCTCTATACACATGTAGATATAGATGAGAAGACCAAATAGAATCATCTCTCGACTACACGTTTAGCGTCGCGAACGTATTGCACAAAAATTAGCTAACTAACTTATTTTTATTGCAGTTATCTACTCCGCCGTAATTTTGCTTTATTTATTTTTGTACCTACACTCATCCCACGACTATGGCATATCTCACGATTTCGGCAAGCAAACAAATTTCTAGCGATGACCTGAACCCAACCTCATTCCAAAGTTATTATAGATATGGTGCAGTACTCGCCGGCAGAATGAGGTCGAGTATACACTCTGGACGTATTCTGATAATAACTGTGTCCTATTGTTATTCTACATAGTGGAATAGAATAAGTAAAAACGTCAAATCAGTATTTCTTTCTATAACTGGTGTGTAGCACACTACTAGTAGGGTGAGTCGTCGAGGCTGGTTGAAAAGAAGTTGGCTTACAGTTGCATATCTCAGGTAATATAGACTGTGTCGGGTTGGCACCGCTGTTGACAGGAACTGGATTATTATATCGTTAGAAAAAATAGCCGATTGTGAGAGATCAAATCTATCTGTCTCAAAACAAAGAGTTTATTTCAATTTCAGCGTAAAACGGCCGGTACATTTTCGCCAATTAAATGTAATAGAATCGTTACAAATACTGGACCAGGTCATCGACGAATCACAAAGTTTCAAAAGTTTACCCATTCTGATATCTGGTCATATATTGGATTGCCTGCCATTCATTAGTCGATCAGTGATTATATACTATTTAGCATGTAGACTGAGTAAAATGTAGTTAGATCAACTTAATGGATGACAAAGTAACTCGACTAACTTTCTCATTTTTGTCACCACTGCCTACAGGGAAGTTGTCACCGAACGTAAGTCATAGAACAACTGTCATTCTTTCGCACCATTTTGCTTTAATTTGGTTGACAATCCCGCGCACGTACTCTGGCCTTTTTTCGGTTTCATATCGGGTCTAAATAGTGCAGTTTCTAATAGAGATTTGCTCGTATTGTGCCGTACGTGCACGGCATCTGTTCTAATTTCAACTGACTAGACTCGTCAAAACGTCTACGGTACCCATAGTGCGGTGCTTTTACGTGGCCGCACTCGAAGAATAATTTAACCAGATATTGATTCCCTCATTTGAAAAAATAAACCCTGTTAAAAGTAAAAGTAAAAGTAACCCTGTAAAAATAAAAGGTCCCTTTTAAGGTTTATGTATATGTATACATAAACCTTAACAGGGACCTCAAATGTTCGAAGTGGAGCATTGGCCTTAGAATACAACGAACGCGATTGGCGCGTTCATTTTATGGAAGAGCGAATCCATACGCATGTATAGGGTCACACACATTTGTTGTCCTTGTTCGATAACATGGAGCAATAGGTAAATGGAATTTGTTTCAATGAATACCGTTGCGATACAATAATCGTCTGCTTCTTGATTTTATTTGATTTGAATACGTGTGTAAGCAAATGAGCGGTGTGGGTCAGTTCCGTTTTATGAAATCCGCAAAGCAAACGATCCGCGCAAGCTTTAAGAGCCGTTAACCCTATTTCCTATGTTATTGGTGGTAGCAACTGAAGTAGCAGCTTCTTGGTTCTCTACCTATTTATGCATCGAGTTCAACGACGTACCTGACATCGCGCTCAGGTTAGCTCCTGCCCCTCACCTACAGTTGCCGTAGAGTGGGCCTTAATCGCTATTGTTATGCCAGAGGTTTTTCATGAGCAATTTCTTGAATGCTTCGACTTCCGCGTTTCCACCCCGCACACGTTTTCGCCCTGGAATGGCTCTGTTTTGTGGCTAGTTTATGGAACTAGTTCATCGTGTTCCTGCTCTTACATAGAAGATACTCATTGTTATTATCTGTGCATAAACCCATAGATAGATTCCATATGCCTTGTGCCGCTTATGATGATCGTTATTGCAGTAATAATTGCCTGAATGGCATATATACGGCGTATAAGAAAAAACAACCAGCCCACAATCGATGCGGGCTAGATGATACGATGAGATAACGACACTCTTACCTTAAATAGCGACGAGCAGTCATCGTAAAAAACAATTTGATTAGAACAACACTTGTAGACTGTCGTTCTTCGTTTTTGGAGTTCCGTCTGTTTTCCGCACAGACGCAAAAGTCTACAAGAGGCAACGGTATGTCCGTTGATCGTTACGTCATTTCTAGAAATTTTCATCTCCGATATATATGTATCTTAGTTGGCTGGTTTTTGAATATTCGATTGATATTCAGCGTCAGGCCATACACACGATTTTACGTATTCATTTATTATTGTTATCACTATAATAATGATGATACGTATTTGCGTCCTACACGAAATTCTCTAAAAGGCTGCGATACGCGTAGATGAAAATGAACACAGTTAGTCATGGGGCACGCTGTATATGCTCATCTATGTAAACCATTTTGAGCGTATTAGATCGCTACTAGAAGGACAACCGGGGCCACGTAAGGCTGCCGTATCAATCAAAGACGTATCAAATCAAGCAAACGTTAACTGATCATTTGATCGACTCGAACGATAACAGCGTGACGTTACTCTGCGGTACAGATCTCTCAGCATATTTAGTTATGCTCTATAATAGAAAATCAAACTATACTTTATACCCGCATTTGTCTCTTTTGCTATCGCTACTGCCACTGGTTCCGGTGGGAATGTAAATGAACGAATCAGATATTGCTACCCCGGACTATGATCTGCGGTTAAATCATTGATCGATCTCCCCTTTTTTTTTTTTTTCTGGAAGACCCCTTTTTGTTCGATTCTTGAAGAAAAATAATGGCTGAGTCTACATTTCATTTCAAGCTGGGAAACAATGTATCTTTTTTGCTAATAGATAATCTTGCGGTGACTACATTCGTTTATGTCAGTGTGAGCCATCCAGCCGATCGCCTTTTCAACAATAGATCTTTGCCTATTTGCTGATGCTGTCTCGCAGTCCTGCGAGTTCATATAAGTAGAAAATTCGGCCGAACCGGGTTGTAGGGATTGGTAATAGCGAGAATGCAACTGGACATTTCAGCCGTAATTTGGTTCGTATGATTGTAGGTCTTTGCTATGGATATAAAATTGCCTAATTAAGGTCATTGTAACACTAATAACCTTTCGTACGTTGTTTCGAACTTGCTAGGCAAGTTCGTTCAGGAGAAGAAATCTTAACTCAGCTCGCCTGCCCTACTGTTTGCTTTATGCCTACCTGCCATTTTGTGTTTTGCCCGCTAAACGGCTTGCTGGGAGCCGCGCTAGGGAACGTGCTAGGTAGCTGTAGTACTAGCATTGTTATCTATAGATAGATATTAGCGATAGATTGCGTTGAATGGCTTAAAAGAGAGTTTGTAAAAGAAGACCGTCGAGGCGGTTTATTAAGTTTATTGTCCGCGAAAACCGCAACAGAGTGTTTTCTAATTGAGACCCGTGACATGAACGGGGGGTAGAATACATTTGTCTCTTTAGTACTGCCCTGTGGCGATAGACTCGAGTCGTCGTTCTCTATCTCCACGCCATCTGCCGTCCAGAACGCTCTGCGTCAGATATCGATTCCCACCGACCAAGCAGCAGCGAACGCCACACGGTTATGATCTGCGCAATGCAGGATTAAGAAGACGCTTCTCAATCGGAAATCAGAAATTCGCAGCTGTTGACCACGTCATAGTTCTCCTAGTCGTTGCTCGCTTACTTCAATCTTTTCTCCGAAAAGCACGATCTTCTTTGTTGACTGGCTAATTTTGACTGGTCACCTGAAAGACATGCGACCTTTCGTCGACTATCCGCTCAGTCGATCTTGCCTTGCTGACTCTTCGTTTTTCTCTTCTTCGAAAAATGGAAGAGTTGAGCTTTAATATACGCACGTCGCTACAGTCGCATGAGCACCGCGTTTCGTATAGGCTTGGCTTTGGTAGTGAGTGCCTTGTTATTTTTTCCCTTCTTGTTTTCCTGACTGTTGGCGTGGACCAGCAGTAGCTTAAGCTTGTTCGTAGCCCAGGCAGCAAAGAAGCCCAATACAACTGGGTGGCTGTGAGCCGTCCTGCTGCTGTTGTGTTCGTGTGCAAAAAGTTAGCGTGCCATGAACCTGAGCCTGTTGTCCACGTTGTGGAGACAGCAAAGAGTTATGGGCTTGCGTCGTCGCTC